CGCAGTAGCTGCGGCGCCCTCCATGGCGCCGCTGCCAGCAGCAGCACCCTCCGTGGTGCTGCCTGACCCTTCTCCTTTGGCCAACAGCTTCGACATCATGGCCATCATGCCGTCAAACTTGCTGTCCAGCGATGCTTCCAACGAGGCTACCTTGCCTCGTAGCATCTCAACCTCATCTGGTCTCCCACCAGGATCACCACCGGGAGCATTTTCGCTCCCGTCTCCATGGCTCTCCATTTTCCGAATGGACTCCCTCGAGGGATGGATCACTAGTGTGTTGTATATGTCCGCGACTTGGAAGGGAGAGACTGAATATCGCTTGTATTAGAAACGCAGAAGCAAGAGAAGAGAAGAAGAAGAGTGCTTCCGGAAAACAGAGAAGCAGGGGTCACAAACACAAGAACCCCAAAATGGTATGTCTACGTTCCTATCTGCGAATATATCCGTTACTGAGGTCGATCAATACCTGTCCGTATCCAAACACACGAACATCACGTGTATTCGTGGGCGCATACTGAAAAGGCACTCATTAGTGTCATTGCTACCACGTTTTTTTGTACTGTGTTGCGTGCGCGTCAGTACACCCCAATAAATTTGCGAAATCTTCTTCGTCAAACCACCACGCCATGACACTCTGTCATATGTTTCGTTTTGTGTTCTTGCTGTCCGTCGCATAGCCTGTGGTACAGGCTTCTTTCCTTCGCCACCGGAACGTTCCGCTTCGCGGAACTCATTCTCAACGTGCGCAACGAGGAGTTCATCAACAAACTCATCATTGCGTACATCGCGCCGTTCGCAGGCAAGCTTTTCCCACCCGGCCGTATTTTGTTTGTCATATCCTCAATACAGCTCATTCGGCGTTCAGACTAGATCGATACAAAATGTAGGGTACGGACCCCCCCGATCCGTCAAATTCAAAGCCCTGTCCTCAAAGAGACCGTCCACCTCGCATTAATCTTGACGTCTTCTGATCATGACGTTATCGCGTTCGCTTGACTTTTCCGTTCGAAAAAAACGAACGCAGGCGGCATGACCGACCTCTCTGGCCCGGAGGTCTCGAACGAGGACGACGAGGAGATACTGGTTCGCGAGACGCCCTCCGACCGCCCCGACGATGTTATCGTCGAGGCGAGCGACCTCGAGGAATACCTCAACAACATGTCGCCCTAAGTTCAGGGCAACATGTTGTTGAGGTACGGGTTTAGCGCCGCCGAAGTTCAGGGCGACGCGTTGAGGTATTCCTCGAGGTCGCTCGCCTCGACGATAACATCGTCGGGGCGGTCGAAGGGTGCCGGCAGCTTTTGTCTCCACACAAGTATTCCTGACAAGTTTTGGGGTGGGTTTCGTAGGGGGGAGACTTTAACCTCGAAGTTGCTGGTGGTATTGCTTTGCGCAGAGTTAATGTGTTGGCTCTCACAAAGCTTCACTGCTGGGTTGTCTCATGTCCCCCAGGGGGTTGATGCCGTTTNCGAGCGACCTCGAGGAATACCTCAACAACATGTCGCCCTAAGTTCAGGGCAACATGTTGTTGAGGTACGGGTTTAGCGCCGCCGAAGTTCAGGGCGACGCGTTGAGGTATTCCTCGAGGTCGCTCGCCTCGACGATAACATCGTCGGGGCGGTCGAAGGGTGCCGGCAGCTTTTGTCTCCACACAAGTATTCCTGACAAGTTTTGGGGTGGGTTTCGTAGGGGGGAGACTTTAACCTCGAAGTTGCTGGTGGTATTGCTTTGCGCAGAGTTAATGTGTTGGCTCTCACAAAGCTTCACTGCTGGGTTGTCTCATGTCCCCCAGGGGGTTGATGCCGTTTAGATATCCACGCCCTGTCGCGCGGGATGGCATCATCCTGGACACCCGACCTCTCCTCTGCGCGCTTTTTGTAAGTATGATTATTTTGGATGCGTCGGAGCTACATTTCTTTTTTACACCGGCGGCGTATCACGTCGCGCAATGGAGACCTGTGTGACGTTCGTGGTGATGGTGAATGATGCATGTTGCTCAGGATGTAGGCTGTTGCGCTGTCGCCTGGTTGGTCAACACGGCAGCGTTTGTTTGTTGCTTCTTTTTTTTTTGTGATCTACTTTTGCATTTTAGNCCTGTCGCGCGGGATGGCATCATCCTGGACACCCGACCTCTCCTCTGCGCGCTTTTTGTAAGTATGATTATTTTGGATGCGTCGGAGCTACATTTCTTTTTTACACCGGCGGCGTATCACGTCGCGCAATGGAGACCTGTGTGACGTTCGTGGTGATGGTGAATGATGCATGTTGCTCAGGATGTAGGCTGTTGCGCTGTCGCCTGGTTGGTCAACACGGCAGCGTTTGTTTGTTGCTTCTTTTTTTTTTGTGATCTACTTTTGCATTTTAGTGAAGTAGGCGGTTGGTGGCGGGGTCTTTTTTCGCGTCTGTCTGTGACCGACGGCGGGAGCTTTCGCCGGCTTCGGGGGGGGCTTATTCTTGATACCTAGGTGAATCTCTGGGGCGGGTACATGTCTGCAGTAGTCTTGTTAGATGACATCAGTTTGTACCTTGGTGGTCATGATGATGTGATGATACCTTTGGTCGAGTACAATATGATGTTGGGGTGGCGCTTGGCGCGTCCCACACACAGCGTTTGAGGTCTTTGTCTTTTATGTTTTTGCTTCTCTCCAATGGGGGTCGTTGAATGCGCCGTCAAAAGTCCACGTCGTTTCTTATGGCGTCACGTCCCGGAGTGAGTGTCGGATTTTGCTTTTTACTTTTCCTGTATCTTTGATGCATGTGTCGCGTAGGTCGGAGAGAGTAGTGATGTGCGCGTCATACATGTACGAAACGCAGAGGGCCTTGTATCACTAGATAATCTTCGAGTTTTGCTATCGACGAGCTATATGATGCATGTTGCTCAGGATGTAGGCTGTTGCGCAGTCACTTGGTGGATCAATACGGCAGCGTTTGGCTTGTGTTTCTTTTTCTGTGGAATCTACTTCTGCATTTTCGTAGAGTAGGCGGTTGGTGGCGGGGTCTTTTTTCGCGTCTGTGACCGACGGCGGGAGCCTTCGCCGGCTTCGGGGGGGGCTTGTTCTTCTAACCTAGGTGAATCTCTGGGGCGGGTACATGTCTGCAGTAGTCTTGTTAGATGACATCAGCTTGTACCTTGATGGTCATGATGATGCGATGATACAATTGGTCGAGTAAAATATGCTATTGGGGTGGCGCTTGGCCTATCCCACACACAGCGTTTGCGGTCTTTTTCTTTTATGTTTTTGCTATCTCTCCAATGGGGGTCGTTGAATGCGTTGTCAAAAGTCCACGTCGTTTCTTATGGCGTCACGTCGCGGAGTGAGTGTCGGATTTTGCTTTTTGCTTTTCATGTATACCTTTGATGCATGTCTCGCGTAGCTCTCGAATAGAGTAGTGTTGTGCGCGTCACACATATACGAAACGGAGCGGGCATTGTGTAACTAGGTACTCTTCGCTGTTTCGTGCACGGAGGGTCGAGATGCGTTGAACGAGGGAGAATCTTCGGACAGATGGATCGGTGTGTCGTAAATTTGATACTAGCGCCAGCTGCTCCTGTCGGTCTATTCTCTGGCGTGTACTTTGTCATCCTTCGTGTCTCCTGTTTGCGTATCAAGCATGTAGCCGGCGCTGGGGAGTCACTGTAACCGTAGGAAACAGAGGAAATGAAACCGTTTCGAAAAACCAATCCGCCCAAGGTACACAGCCGACCTCACCCTGCCATGGTTGGTAGGCCTTGCCCTGACAAGGTACCAGGACACCCCGGCCCTGTCAAGGTGATAACCGAAGCGACACCTTGTCAAGGNTTGATGCATGTCTCGCGTAGCTCTCGAATAGAGTAGTGTTGTGCGCGTCACACATATACGAAACGGAGCGGGCATTGTGTAACTAGGTACTCTTCGCTGTTTCGTGCACGGAGGGTCGAGATGCGTTGAACGAGGGAGAATCTTCGGACAGATGGATCGGTGTGTCGTAAATTTGATACTAGCGCCAGCTGCTCCTGTCGGTCTATTCTCTGGCGTGTACTTTGTCATCCTTCGTGTCTCCTGTTTGCGTATCAAGCATGTAGCCGGCGCTGGGGAGTCACTGTAACCGTAGGAAACAGAGGAAATGAAACCGTTTCGAAAAACCAATCCGCCCAAGGTACACAGCCGACCTCACCCTGCCATGGTTGGTAGGCCTTGCCCTGACAAGGTACCAGGACACCCCGGCCCTGTCAAGGTGATAACCGAAGCGACACCTTGTCAAGGTCGTAACCCTGGGGACACCTTGCCATATGGCACCCTGTATGGGTGCAAAATCTGGTACCCTGTATGAGGTTCTCCCCCGAATCCCTGCAGGGGTAGCCGATTGGCTACGGGTGCAGCAGTACAAGCGCCGCAGCTCACCTCGTCATTTCAACACGACCGAGCACACTTCTTCTACACAAGCGGCTCCCGCCACGGCTCGTCCTCCTGCTGCTGATGAGGATTTGACAGTAGCATCAGCTGGCACAGCAACAGGCGCCAACATGACCACCGCATTACCTCACCAGCAGCAACCACGCTCCTTCAAGTGTGCGGTGGCAGCGGCTCAACTTCACGATCAGTATTACAGTATCACCCCCACACCCCCAAACACACCCTGTGGGTTTTCGGACGTGCTATCAAACCCCCTGGTAAGAGTAATACTTTTGAAGCCCAAAATGCTACCACCGGGGTGTGTTATGTTGTGTCGTCTATGGTATACCTGGTAGACGGGAGCGTACAGCAGGATGCGGAGACGTCAATAGCACAAATGAGAAAATGAGTTTTGTGTATAACCTGAGAGAACGCACCTCAGCGGCTTGGCACAGTCAGTGATAATGGACGTGGCACTCTTGTACTCGCTTGAATCCTCAGGCGACCATGCGTAGAGAATCAAGACCGATGCTCCGACGTCAGTCTCACTGCGGTTGAAAACACAAAACACTTCGAAATGCCCCTGTGAGGGGCGGCATACGTGGGAGGCTAGTTATTGTCCGGATCAACGACAGAAATCGCGTGTGTGTCTGATTTTCAACCCGGTAACCCTTCTGGTTTGTAGTCATAGTCCGCTGAGCACCTGGGCTTCGACTGAGCAGCATCAGACTGTTCGCTCGTTGAACACCGTCATTGGCTACGTTCCGGTACAATACATGAGGAAGAACTTTTGACTCCGAGATGGGCGTGATCATGAGCAGTATCATGAGCACAGCAGTACCACCTCACGGATTTCAGAGACCGCCAGCAGATCCGCGGTATACAGGATCCGCAGCAACACACAAAGGCTAAGAATACTCCTCAAGCACTCAGCCTCAGCACCAACAGAAAAAATACACCATGCATACGAAATAAATATAAAGTCGACTCACGTTTGTTTTCAGGCAAGACAAAAAATGAACAAATGAGCCAAGGCGAATTATTTCCAGCCAAGCTAATACGATCCACCACTTATGGACGAGCAACAAGTCAAAGCGCAACAATCCCAACTCTAACTTCCAGTATTTAGGGAGCAAAACGAAATCAAGACTCAAAAAATACTTCGACGCACAGCTTGAGGCAAAGTCGTTGTTTCGCTATGTAGTTTTGATTTCGGCACAACCGTGTAATAGTCCACACCTACGCGGTAAAGAAATGCACAAATTGTTGTGCATGGAGCACATATGGTATAATGTAGCTTATCCATTTATTTATTCATAACAGCGACAAACTTACCGATCTCAACCCGAAACAATACGAAAAAAGCATGTACCCCAAGGTTGACTATCCCCTTTTTACTACATCGACTACATACTTTGGTATCATTTCATATCGTCGGGTTCCTTTCGCAGTGTAAACAACTCTCCCAAGACATCGCACACGCACTCATATACTACACCAGTCCGTCGAGATTCAACTATATATACTATTCCTTGTCTCTCCTCTACATTCCAATACATCATGCATCATCGCTGGAAACCCTACGTGTTTTGCCGCAAGATCCTCGCGCTACTGCTGCTTGGTTCTTCGGCCAACAAGAGCAGGCCCATCATCGCCTGGTGCTCGTCGGTCATCGGTACCCGCGTCCAGACTCTGTTGGTGACACAATGCTCTCCGGTGGTGAGATTGTGGAGGCGTATCTCCTGGGTGGTGGGTGATTCGTACAGGGGCGGGCGGTGGGGTAAAAATAATTTTGCTCGGGGATTGGTGGTTGTTTCATGGACAGTTTCTTGAGGTGTGCCGTGGCGCCCCAATCGCTTGTTAGCGTCAAAACCAGTTCGGATCATCAACTAACCCTGCCTTCTTCGCAACCGTGCCCTTCTTCCTTGTGCACTGAGACCCTGCCTCACGTCAGAACGTCATCGAGGATCAACCTTTCAGCGAAACAGAGACAGACACTGGAGGAGATGTTTTCGCGCTCAAAACACCCAAAATACGAAAGAATCAAGGCTAGCAAAGGCGCATTTCCAAAGGGAAACGGACATTGTCGGGTACATGGTTTAATAAACTCGTTATGATTCCGAGACGACCGCTCGCGCCCCCCGTCCGCTCAGCCGCCGGTCAAGTGGAAGAGCTATTTTCCACCCCCTAAAGAGCTGAAACATGAGAGAGATATACCGCCTTTCCATCCGCCGCGATCCGCGCACCCCAACCAACTAACCTGGGTGTGAGAGAGACCCCCCTCCATGATGTGCCGCGACTCGAGCATGTGAACGTCGTCTCTTCCGCCGGAGACGGCGGTACTTCTAGCGGAACGTACATATCCCGTGGGACGTGAAGATGGCATGGAAACCACCTCGGATATCCTGGTGCGCAAGATGCCATCGTGCTTCACCTTCTCCTCGCCGAGCTTGAAGCTGGGTCATACGGTGGATGTTCCGGGGACAAGGATCGGTCTTCACGCACACCATTTGCAAGGGTTGACGCCCATTCCCTTTTGGCACCTCAGCAAATTCTAAGCAAATGCATCGCACGTCAAAATTGTTGGACATGGCCGCTTCATCGTTGTTAGACAACATTCCCTCAGGAATAAAGCAACAAAAACTGACGTTTCATACCCCCGCGCCGCCCTCTCTCTAGACTTCAATGGTGCCGGGACAAAGGCCTAGGGGGGAAGATTCGTCTTTCTTTCAGGCCGCGACCAGGCAACAGAATACCAAATACAGCGTCTCAGTGCACTTTAAGCTCCACAGCACAAGAAGGGCGTGAGTGACGACACTCGGACGAACCATAACGGACAGAGGGCGCACCTCTCGGTGAAGTTGTTTGCACAGGTCCGCTTGTGGATGGTGATCGTGTCTCCCTCCAGGTGGATCACGTTGAACGCTCCGTGCCGTGCCTCGGCCCTGACCTGGTACATAACCAAGAACCAGCAGGCGCAATAAACGACGAAACGCACCGGTCTCTAAATACACGCTAATGGAGATAGCAGGAGGGAGTTGGACTTTTTTTTTGCATGCCTGAAGTCCTTTCGGTAATCGCATTGATCGACGCAGCGCTCTGAGACAGCGGCATTTGTACTCCCGATATACGGTCACCGCGAACTCTCTGGAGCGCTTTCCACTTTCTGGCCTCCGCGCCGCATTTGATTCGGGCATGCTATGTTGGCCTTCCAAACCTTCCCGACTAGCTGGTACTGTTCACCGCCGTGCTTTCTTGGAGCCAGGGTACGATCCCGCACCCCAGCGGCGTGTTGATTGAGCGTTATTTGCTGCAGCGCTGCAGTACGGATTAACTTGGGTTTGTCGACGACACCGTCGATATATCATGCTGGTTCACTACGAGTTGTTCGACATCCGAGAAAGATGAAAAGCCAGCCTGTGCATATCGCGCATCACGTGTGAAACATTGGAGTGAATCGACAAAAGCAGTTGGGCTCGAATGGTGTAGAAACTACGTCGTCGTGATGCGTCAAGCTCGGCCTGAAGCAACGTTATACTGCTGTGCGCCCGTCTGTGCACCCGAGACACAGCATTTCGCCGTAAAGTGCAGCCGAATCGAAATATGGTACAAGGGAAGGTACCAATCTGTATCCTGTGTGAGAAAAGCGTTGCGCCAAGTAGACAACAAACACAATGAATGAATGAACGGGTGGACGGAGAGGAGTACGGGTGAGACCAGTGCAGCACCATTCGGACGTCTACCTGGTGAAAGCACACCGACGAATCTGCAACCTGCCCGTACTGGTTGAGCAAGGGTGGTAAAACACCGGTCGCGTAGGCAGTCAAGGTGGGGTGTCACGGAAATACTACTGGTTATATCCCCACGTGGAGTGTGCCGACCGGGGTCAGCCTGCTTTACGCGATTTCTGGTGATTCAAACGGTCTGGTGTGTAGGATAAAAATAGACATACACCTACTGGAAGCGCGTGCAGGAACCCTTCCTTGCAGCAGAACAAACCATGTGAACTCTGAGGCTAGCCGCCAGACATTGCTTTTGTGTGCTCACATGAGCCCGAGTGCCTTGCTCCGACACCCCGGTGACTTGGAGGAAGCGCTCCATGGTTTCGGACCTGAAACCATAGTTCGTTTTTCATTGGGGAAGCAAATCCATCTGAGAAAATTGAACCCTTATTCGGATACATGGATGTTTTGAGAGAGGCTTTTTTCCCGATTGGCTCCCTTGGTTCGTCGATATTTTGTGAATGTTTGAAGGGTCTCGATGTCTTGGGCATAATCACAAGGGTTTCGGCGGTGATGTTAATCCACAGTCTTGTCATAAGGAGTTGGTTCGGGATCCAGCTAGAATCGACATGCCTATCAAAGCACTGGGCGTGCGTAAAGGGTGACGTGGGTCGCGAGACGATGTGCTTTTTTGGCTTCATTTTCCCGTTTCCCTGGCGCTACATAAACGTTGAGGTCAAGCGGGCAGGGGAGGAGGTGGGAAGGCCTCCAAAAGCGAAAATATGAAAACATCCTGAAGTACGGATAATAGGAGTCATCGTTGAGAGCAGCTGTCTTACCTTCGCCCTCCCAGTCGCTTCTCGACAAACAGGTCAGTCAGCCAGGTCATAATTCACGATGTTGCGGAGAGCTCATAACCTCACCTGGAGAGGTTCAGGGCCCAAGCCCCCACAATGGAATCGAACCCTCCACGCCGCTGTCCCTCCATGACCCTCAGCCAGTCGCGTGCTGCTGGCACACGGCCTCCTGCTCCTCTTCTTGGGATATTCCAGGGGTGCTGGTATAAGTTTGGTTCGGCCGGCAGATTCAGGTTCCGGCGCTTCGAACAAATCAATTCGGCAGGACCTGGAAACGTACTTGAGGTTGAAATTTCACTCGCAAGCTTCTTGCTTGTCAGTTACCAGACGAACTATCTGCTTTGCACGCGGGCGAGAGCATTTCAAACAATGGCTGGAGGGCAGGTACTTGAGCGCAGTCACATATTGCATGTACTTTGCTTTTCTGCATACAGCATCATATTCAGCCTCGATTATCGTCCCTGAGATCGGAGATCATTCGCCCTCACAGAGCAGAGCACCTTCGCCTTCAATAGGTGGAGAGACCACCAGCACATGAAGCCTGCTGCTGATGCTACAAGGCAGAGGCTGTGGGCGAACACACGACGAGTGAATGAAAACCGACGCTGGACGAGCGCAAGTCATCGCAGCTCCGCCGCCTTCCACCGATATTCATGTCCCTGTGGGGCTCTATTGTGCCCACATCGATGAAGAGGTCGCAGGGGGTTGTACGCTGTCAATCGTCTAGTTCGTCGATATACGTTCGTCCCTCCATCTGGGCGAACACCAATGATTCGATAGTGAGGAGAAGGTGGAGATTGACCATGGGTGGGGGGATTTCCATAGTACAGTATCCTCCTCCTCTCTATCCTGGGAACCGCGTCAACAATTTGTGAAACCTGGACTGTCATGGGGGGGATTACCTCTTTGGCAAACAACTAAGAATGCACGAATATAAGCATACGACAACCATGATATGAAGGCACGTGTGTGGCGCCTTGTGTACGTTGGGATAGGCCAGACGGCATGTTCCGCAGGAGCATTGGGAATGCGGCTCGTATGAGTTGAGAAAAATACTAAACGAAGAGGAGGTTGATGAGTGAACTTCAGAGAGGACAAGGAGAGAGAGAAAGACGACGATTCTCCAACGCCCGCGGTTGAACAGTCAGGTTGGTACCTTCATTTGCTTGCTTAGGAGCACAGAGGCTCGATTTAACCATTTGTTGAGCTTTCGGGAAGGTGAAGGACCGCTGTGGAGGCTGAGAGGGTCAACTGTTCTTTGAAGGCGACTGCGCCGCTTGCTACAATTAATAAGGGTCGCGTTTGTCTTGGACACAAACAAAGGTGGAGCATCAAAACCATGCTCATTTTTTCGTAAACCACTCGAGCGTATCAATCCCTCGGAAGGTCGACTTCGAGTTCATTTCTGTCCCACATAGCATGTGCGTAGCGGGGAGTGGAGGGCCCCGGACTATCGGTCGTTGATAAAATTGCTTGCGGACCCTTCGGGTCCATTCGATTCAAGCCTATGCATAAGCCTTTTTTGGAATGTTAGCCTGTGACCACGGGAATGGTTTGGTCAAGTGTTTGATCACTACGGACAGATGAAGGTATACTGGGTAGAGAGACCGGAACGGTTTATTGTGTGAGGACAACAACAAAACAACAACAGCGCCCAAGTTGAAGTTGTTGCATCACGCGGAACTAGAGGCAGAATCCGGAGCCGATAAACAACAAGATACAAACGATTGGTCGAGATCATAGAAGAGTGCCTTGATATGTTCAGATGCGCGTGTCTGCTATTGCATGGGACTAGCTGCGCCCGGATGTTTATTGTCTCTGTACACTGACGATGACAGAATCGCATTGGGTGGAAACCCATGGGGGCGGCGGCGACGATGAGACCACAGATCGATTTCTTCTCCAACCCCACAGATTCGAGGGAAAAACTTGCCAAATCCAAAAAAATGGATGCCGACATCCAACCATCGTCGCGTAAGAGTCTCCCCCCTCCTCCCTGCGAATACATATGATATCATACGACCTGTTTTGGCTGCAGAGCTTTGCGTACATATGATGCATATCAAATCGATAACGAACTTCACCAAATTGCATCAAGCAATGGTCTACCTACGATTATGGCTGTTTCTACACGTACTGACAGGGTCATCAGGGTAGCACGTCGACGACTAGTCTACATATGTGAGAGCATGCGAAGAGGAAAACACAAACTCTCGCTGTTGACACTCACCCATACTAGACTAGAGCCGTGTTATGATAAACCGGAATGCATTTATAGGGCGCGAGAACGTTTGGCAAAAACTGCAGAGCCATACCAGCTGAGTTGGCTGCCGTAGCGCCTACATCTATTCTACAAACATATACTTTGTTCTAGGGGGAACGATTAACCCCCCTCCCCCCAGCGGGGCGGGCGGCCAGACTGCAAGGGAAACGATGCCGTTTCAGAAGATGAGGTATGTAGAGCACCACGAAGATTTGATCTGTGTCGTTCAGGAGGTTGACGCCGTTGAAGGCTGTACGTTGTACTGCCGAAGTAGGAACGGGCGGCCAGACTGCAAGAGAAGACAAGGAAGACTTGATCCGGGCCGTGGTGTCTTGTAGTGTAGAAGAAGGGTGCCGTATACAAATATGGGCAGGCAGCTGCAAAGAATTTCATGCCTGTGTGTAAGAGTTTTTGATGGGTTTGATTTTTGATGTATCCCGTTTTGCTTTCTTTCGCGCAAAATGTTCTGTCCTCGCCGTAAATGTTCCGGGGTGAGACCTAAAAGGGCACGGCCTGTGTGTGGGTCTACCGACGAACGTGGATACCTCAAGGAGCAAAGGTGGCAAACAACAAAACGATTTCGAATCGTAGTGTAGCTAGCTACCATCCTCATGATAGACTCGGCGCTCGCTACAAAAGCGGGTGTAGAGTCGTGCAGCGACGCACGTACTGCATTCAGGGATAGCCACAGCACGGCAAAGTACATACCCAACGTTTCACGTATCATACCCCGGTGTTCGCAAGATCGTTTCCACCGGACGTTATGTAAACAGCATTTTCACGGGTTCGTGGCGCCACGGTGTCGACTCGTTCTGGTCGATCACAGAACGCGCCGCCACCTAAGAACTTAGCAGTTAAGAACTTGAGCCTCATACCATCCAAAATCTAAGAACTTGGCCATAAGAACATGTGCTCAGTTCCGACGTGGTATTGAGATTAAGAACCCGCCGTTATCGTGCACAAATGCGCATACAGTTATGAACGGAGCCCCAAAACGCGGCGGCTGCAAGATAAGAACTTAGGAGGTTGGGGGTGACCAAAACAGCATTAGTTCGTTTCAGATTCGAGCCGGGGGGTGGAGAGGCCTCGTGATAAAATGCTTGTGCGCGTGGAGGGG